AATCAATATCATGTTGGAAGATTAAATACACCTTGACGGATGATTTTGTCATTTTACCTCACCTGCTCAAATAAATCTCCACCCCTCTTTTCTCTGTTAAATCTTTCCTTGCACATTCAAATTTGTCATTAAATCCAACACAATAGGATTAATCATCGTTTACTGACCGGTAGAGTCCTTGTGCTGCGTCCAGACACATACGAACTTTTCTGGTCCAGGGCATTTTAGAGGCAGAATCCAGAACCTCTCGGAGACTCCCCTTCTCACAGTACTCCATGATAATCAGGAACTGAGGGTTGGGCGCTTCACAAACATGCACATTGTTTTTATTCTAAAGGTTTAATGTGAATGGATCGTCTGTGATTTTCATCTTCACTCCTACTCACCATCCTCATCCAGGACACAGATGCCAAACATTCGCAGGATGTTGGGTGACTCAAAACGTCTCATGGTTTCAACTTCCTTATTGAAAACAGACCGTACCTCCCTACATTTCAGAGAACATGTTTGGATTGATACAATACAACAGACTCATCTCAACGGGGACTCAGTTTTCAGGCCAATCAACCATCATTCACCTCTTATTAGTTAATTTCAGTGTCATTTCAGTAAAAAAACGTAAAAGAAGCACTGAAAAGAATGTAACATTGGAGTCTGCTGCCACTTCATACAGGCTTCAGATAAACTCTGAGAAACATTTTTGTATTTTGTGGATGTTGATCCCCATCACTTCCATTGTAAATGCAAGACGTTGGGATTGCAAAAGGCCCAGCATAGAAGTGATTACCTGACACGTTTTAAGACAGACTAATTGTCAACCTGTCCCTTAATATCCCCTGACCCATGGTGATCAATACACTGGTGTTATTCACACGCTGATTTCATCTGAAGAACTGAAATTACATTTCTTCAGGACTGTTTTGTTTGTTGTAAAATTAGCCGAAATAGATAATGGAATATTTTTGAAATGTCGCAAAACGAAAACAAAACAAGCTGTTGCTAAAGAGAAAAAGAACCCTTAAGAAAAAAAAGAAGAAACAATCTATGAGAAAAAAAAAAGAAGGACTGAGTAAACATTCTCTTCTTCTTCCTCTTCTTTTTTGAGTTGTTAAATTAGTTCAATAAAAAGGTAAAAACCACCTCAAGAGAGTGTAAAAACCTTTTTGTTTCTAATCTGTTTTGCAAAATTTAGGAAGTAATTTTCTGTCATTTTCAGGGGTAATTGTCCAAATTACACACAAAAACAGGAGGAATTTTACTTGTGGAGCTCCATGCAGATCTTATAACAACCAAAAACATTAAAAACAGAGGAGTGAACCCTCTTGCACTTTGCCTTTTAATGGATTTTTGAAAATGTTGATTATATCACTTTAAGCCTGCAGCCTCAAGGACTGTAAAAAACAACATCATACTTTATATTGGACAGAGTCGTAATAATTTAAAATAAAATTACACAGGTAGTGTTGTCTGGCCAGTTAAAACTCAATGAAATTAATAAAGTACTCAATGAAATTAATAAAGTACTTCTGATTCTGATTCTGATCTGAGTATCCTTCTGCAGTGGAGCACTGACCTTGGACTGGCTTTCACAGGGTCTGTATATCTCTTGATGACCACTGTGAATCCATTATACTCTCCTTTGTAGACCTCTGAGGTCAATGTCTTCATGAAGGGTTTTTTGGGATGCTCGTACTTCAGTTCATCTGGTTTGATCACTCGAATATCCACGTCGGTCATGCTGGGCTTATTCACTGTGGAAATGCACAATTCAATTCAATTTTTTTCGTAAAGCACTCGAATCACAACACACATCATCTAGCGAGACACCAGGAACATTTGAGTCTGTCATCTGTCATCATGGCAACAGCTATGTCACATGACACAAGACTGATTTTCTGACAGCATGAACAAGTATTGAATATAACACTGACATACCATCACCGACTTATCAAACAGCTGCATATTTCCACATCCAGCCATTCCAGAACAACACATCATTACTCTGGAGTGGCATTTGTGTCCATGTGATAAATCTACATCCAATATGGATTTTCTTTGGGTCCCCACCACCTCCTGAGGGAAATATCAGGCTCTACAGAAGCTGAATGCTCAATGTGTGCTCTGCAGATTGCTGCTGACACGATAGTAACATAAATAAGCTGAAACTCACTATGAAGCTCCATAAAACAAAGGGGGGTTTCAGATTCAGGAGATGATTCTCAGCAGATTCGTCACTATCATAAACATAATTTCCACATTGCAACTTGATGCAATGTCATCATGTCATCGTCAATATATAATAGAGCTTTTTAAACAAGTTGGAGACATTACATGTTCTATCAAGTTACAGTGGCAATTAGTTTAAATACGGCAATCATTCGGATAGCGAGCCCATGAGTGTTAGGAGTCGATGCATAGTGGAAAATGTCATAGTCACAATTGTCATAGAGTTTCATCACCAGAAGAAATATTTTGTACATTGTACTGGGCAGCTCTATTTTCACCGAGGTATTTACTTTACAGTGTGGAGCTGAGACAAGTACAACTGTGTCAGCTCCATTATTTATTTCTATGGTTTCTACCATTGCTACAGCATGTAGCACTATTTGCAATGAAATACTAATCTAGACGCTTGTGATCGGGTGTACTCACATATCTCCACAAGCTTTTCCACATTGATTTTGACATGTTCAAATTCTCTTTGCATGGCGTCCATTTTCTCTTGCTGCTTCTTCATGTACTCCAGGAGCACTGAGAAAGAGATGAACACAGATGACACAAAGGCAACGAGACCTGCTGATCCACAGGATTACAATGTCAATTTAGAAAAACGCTTGTGAAATAATTCAAGTCTAAGCACATTACAAATACTTCCAGCCATAAAACTTGATGAAAATCCAAACTTGGTCAAGACAATATCTGTTTGATTACATTTTGGGTCATGTGCAACACAGACAGACTTCTACCATGAGAGTGTTTCATTCAGGACACAGAGGAATTACAAGGTTCAGTAACCTTCATGTAAGAAATACTGTCCTGTCCCACCTCAAGAGTGAAGTGACAATGTTTGTGTTAGATTCTTACAAAGTTTGCATTGGCAAAACTTCTATTTCACCAATTAAAGGTTCTTGCATTGCTTTAATTTGACTGGTTGATGAGCGAAGAGAAACTTTACTTTGAATCTATTAAATACTCTTTCAAAATATTCTTCTAGATTTCTTGCTTCTGTTTGATCAGTCAACGAATAACAGAAACCCTGAAACTGGGGGCAACATATTAAGCCTAGACAGGTCATCAAGTCGATCACAGGCCTGAAACACAAGTCATTTTCAGACATGAACTCCAGAAAAGCTATCTCTAGACTCTAGAGTCTAGAATCTACCTTTCACAGATGAAGAATGTAGCAGGAGATTCCTAAATCAGATGTGTTCACAACAGTAGAGTTCATGTAAGGAGAGGCACAGCAGGAGGCAGGTTATAACATATGAAGTGTGCTGCGGAGACCACATTTTGTTTACCATTTTAGGTGTATGGCACTTTTTTTTATCTTAAGAAATTAAAAAAAAAAATCAATCCATTTTTCGAACGTCATTTGTTTGAAATATGATCAAGATGCCCACTCACTTGTGGTAGATAATCTCTGGCTCTCTTCTCACATGGGCTCATCCTAACTTTGTGTGTTTACTAGGGGGCTGGCAGGAGAAACTCCAGAGAGTGTCTGCAGTGATTGACTCAGACATTTGCGTTACCATGTTCAGCCTCTCCAAATATATTCAGGAGATTATCCGGAGTTCAGTGAATATCTTAAACTAGCTAGTGACAAACAACAATTTGCACTAACAGTCACACAGGCAACTCAGAGTCACTGGTCAACCTAACCTGCATGTCTTTGATGAACTCCCACACAAAAATGTAACCAGGGTTCAAACCCAAAACCCTCTCGCTGTGAGGGGACAGTGACACCTGCCTATTGAAAAGTACTTTGAATATAAAAAAAAAGCATAGTTCTTCTAGTGACAGTGGAGCTGATAATGTGTTCATCTTATACTGAAGTTGTACTAATCACCAATATGTAACTTGTAAATCGTGCTCATGTCAACATCAAGGAAATTAAAAAAAAAAGATTCAATACATTCAATTTGATAAGATAGAAGTGGCTGATGAAATGAAATGGACATGTACGCCTGTTGTAAGCAATAGTCTGTCCTTCAATGAAACTGAACAACCTACTCAGCATCATTACAATGGTCCTTACTGAAAAATGATCATTCCAATCTCTGCTCTCATGTGCAAGGATGTTTCACATTTCTTAAAAAGGTTCCAGAGTCCTGAACAAAGTTTATGCTAATATTTTTCCATTTTTAAAATTAAGGAAAACGATGAACATATTACTTATTCTAAAGGCTCTGATTTACATTTCTATGAAAATAAAATTGAATAGGTCAACTTTAAGTAATATCAAATGTAAGCGTATGCAGACACATACTGAGTTTGGATTTTAAGATAAATCTAAGCAACAAAACTAAAGTCAAAACCAGCTTTCCTCACATTTCTTGAGCTCTGCATCGTCCTCCTTCCCATCGGCCTCATCGATTTTCACCCTGGAGGTCAGTTCAAACACTTGGTACAGCGCGTTCCCCTGCTCCACCTGCAGAGCACCCGACAGCAGCTGGAAGGCATCATTGAGGCGTTCATTCACACTGTTGAATTCGTCTCCATGGCTGTTGGAGCTCAGGATGCGCTCCATCCAGTTGGTCAATGTGTACTTCTGGATGAGATGCTTTGCTGATTTCAGAGTGATGGAGAGTTCCCTGAGGGCTTTCTCCACGTCAGCAGAGGCTTGAACCGTGTCCCTCTTTTTGATGGACCTCACCAGCTCCTCCAGGGCTTGGACTCGGCAAGACACACGGCGGGAGCGTTTCTTATTGGCCTTCACATTCTCAACCAGGGTGTAGATCTGTGAGGCAATGGACAGGATGGGATCTATAAAGTCCATAACCAGCTAAAGAGAGACAGAGAGGAAGTTATGTTATGCCAATGAGATGGAAGAAATCAGAGATGCATGCAAATTAAGGTATAACTATAGTAAGATTAAGTAATCTACAGTTTTCCCAACTGAAATATCTAGAAGTAAAGTGAGTTCATCTTCAATTCCCTGAGCAAGCCTGATTTTAAAAACTTTCTCTGCTGCTGTGGCTTCTTGCCAGAAGGAGAGGGTGATGATGTTGGCTTGCCAAGAGCTTCATTGTGATTATAATAAAAGAGGTTAGAATTCTCCCTCCAAACAACCCTATCTCTTCAAGCCAGACTGAACACTGCACTGACTGGACCTACTGGATTAGGACTAGCTGGTTAGCATGCTAATTTAAGGAGACCAAAACAAGTGATTGAACCTTGGCCCAGCTTTTTTTTTTTTTAAAAGAAAATAATTCCTAACAAGGAACATTTTAGTGATGTTTTTTTTTAAAACTACAGCAACCAACTGTTTAAGCAGATTACTGACAATTTTCTGTTAATTAATACCATAAGTAGTGTCAATTTATTTTACTTCTGTAGGAACCACTGGGCACACAAACTGAGTAGGGAAGTCAAAAGTATTGAGATAGATACAGCCGTTGTTTATTTCTGTCTTTTTAAGGCATTTGCTGATGGAGTAAAATATCACGTCCTACAGCAGGAACTGAAACTTTCCTGATGTTACTGAGTCTTGATTTACTTCAAAATAAAGAAGAATTCAGACAGATTTAATGCTGCAGGTCTCTGGACATACAGTATTAACAAAAACAATGTACTGTATCTGAATTAAACACAAACTGCTCTGTATGTGGGCCAATCGATCAATGTTTTGAGTCATTGGAAGGCGTCATGGGCTATGATGTTAATGGTTTTTTATTACAGAGCCTGTGTACTGATTAACTGTCATAGAGAGAGACAATCCGAGCTTACTCCTTCATTCACAGAGTACCTGGTGAGAAAAACGTTACCTTCATGGTGTCCATATTGGGATGAATGCTGAAATGAATTAATACCCTTTGGGCTCTTTGTCATGTATTGAGTATTACTAGTAATCATTGTTACTCCGGCTTTCTTGTTAAATAACGATGAAATGATTCACAAGTTGGATTGTGTCTTTTTTAAGATCTTGGACTTTTGTGCAGCACCCTGAGACAACAGTTTGTTGTGATGCCCTGCTACATAAATACATTTGATTGATTCATTGATTCATTGTAGGCTACAAAGATACACTGCACTCATGAAAAACTAAATGCGCAATATTTTTATGAGTGCAAAATTAAATCTGCTTGTCCACCACCTAGTTTGCATTCACCTAAATGGCCAAGCAGCTCAAAGTGGTTGATGAGAAAAACTTGATGATTGCAGTAGATGAAAAGTCAGAGTTATTACAATGCTACACCCAGAGGGGAACATGAATGTCTGAAATGAATTTACTTCAAATTGTTGATAAAGATATTTGACCCAAGACCCAAATGTCAGCCTCATGGTGACTCTAAGGAAAAGGTCAGAGGATCACTAACATCTTTAGGATTCCCCCTCTGGGAACCATCCAGTACTAGTTGAGTGATTTCACAGGATGAATGAAGTCACCAAAGTCATTAGAATTCATCCTGTGGGGACTATGAATGACAAATTGGTGCAAAATTTAAAGGCAATCCATTAAATCATTATTGAGCTGCAGTATAGAGTGCAAACATAAGTGATGGGCCACCCTGCCACAAGCATGGCTAATCAATTATGGCCTCAACCACTAAAGTGCAGTGGATGATATTATCAATCCTCTGCATTGAGAGAAGATTATTAAGAATTGTTTGTTGATTCTAAATGGTCCTCATTCTTCATTCATCTGTGCGCACCCATGTCTGAGTGTGTATGTTTTATGTAAGTATGTGCTCAAGTAAAATAACACAACATATGGATGGATTTTCACCAAACTTTGTGTGAATAATATTTCAGAATCAGAATCAGGATTCTTTATTGCCAAGTAAGTAACATACGAGGAATTTGACTTGGTGTTGGTAGGTGCACAGTGGTCAATAAAAAATAAATAAATAAATAAAGTAAATATACATTAAATACTTGTAATGTACACACATTGAAGGTATGCTTTATTAGTATCCTATTTATGAGACGATCTCCAAATTATCAGCTTTTGGAGTTGATCAGTTTGGGGTGTGGTGGTAAAAATATGTGTACTTGTAGCGCCGACATACCACCAATTTAATCATATGGAAGATGTATCTACAGCTCTGTGCAAACATTCTTGTACCCACCCATTTATTGTTGTCCATTCTTCATCCTTCTGTTCAAGAGCACCAATTGTGCACAATCAGCACCAAGTGCTCCAAGTACTCTCCAAAACTATTCATAATTTTTCTGTATTTCCATTTAAAGCAATTGTTTGTATTAGAGTTCTTATGTGTCTACAAATCCTTCTTTGACTGTGTATAGAAGAGTTGTTCAGCAGGTAAATACTTGTCTTTGTTCAATCTGAATTTTGTTTTTTCTGCTCAGCCAGTGACAATTCATGCATGTGAGCAGGTTAACTCCACCTTAAACTCAGCTAAAAGAGCTGCTCCTCAGACAGAATTCATGTTGGAGCAAGGAGCAGAGTTATCATCTTTTGTTCTTGGATAATAACTCACCCAGGTGTCAGTTTTCAACAGGTATGTTGCCCAATACCGCTTCAGCAAAGTTTTAAACCGCCATAACAATGGACCGTGGCTTTGAGGAGAACAAGACTTGTACTCCTAATGTCATATCTGAATTTACAGCAGACAAACCTTCTTACGGAGTCAACAGCCATAGGGAGCTGTCAGCGGAGAGACAGCCAAAACAAAAAGATTACTCACCTGTGAGTGGAAGTCAATGAACGCTGACTGTCTCGACCAAAGAATACTGTCTGGTGTTTGAGTGCCGGGAGAAAATGAAACCGCCTCTGTAGACTTCAAGACCTGATGCTCACAACTTCCTCTTCCTCTATGACAGTTACAGTACTTCCCCCCTCTGCATTTTGCTTGTGCACCTCTACTCTGACACACCCTGGATTTATTAACCTGATGGTTGAAGCAGAAGTATAACTCACTTCGGGGCCGATGGGGGTGCAGGGCAGATGAGGTCTGTGACTTGCTGTTTTATTGATGCTCTGTCAGGCCAGCTGTTTTCAGGGTCAGGGGATGGGTTAGTACCGGGGGTCCTGGAGACCAAACTGATTTTCAACCTAAATAATTAAATAATACACAGTTTGACAAACATTCACCTGCTGTGCAATAGCTTCAAATCATATGTAGAGTGAACCTATAGTTATTTTGTAAAGCACCACAACACCCTTTGTTGAGGAATATTTGTATATCATCACACATTACTGTATACTGGTACTATATACCGTATTATGTATATATAGAGTATATTACATTATATCTGTACACCATTAAGAGAAGTGTGTCTGTCTCCCTTCTCTCTCTAAGCAGTACCCAACAATGGACAATGGTGACATTATGGTTAAAATAATAATCATGTTGATGTGAACACAAGAAACGTCCTGAAACAAAGGGAACAAAACCAACAACCCAATTGATAATTAAACAAGATCTCAAAACATACAGACTCAAAACAAGTCAAACAGAAATGTACCTAAACTAAGCAAACTTAATAAATCTGAACCAAACGAGCGAATCAAAACTACAGAAATGAGCAAACCAGGCAAACAAAGAAAAACCTAACAAAAGCAGATCAGGACAACAGGAAACCACCACCAGGGACCAGCAAGAGACTGCACTGAGCCAGCCGAGGCCTTTTATACTGCACCTGGGCAGGGGGAGGAGCTGAGGGAGGAGTCCTGCTGGACTACCTGGGCTGCGTTCACAACTTCACTACATTGACATCAGGTCAGAGATGAGAGGAGGAGTTATTGGATGAATATTTTGAACCGAGCCATGTTGTTTTATTTAAACACACTGATGAGTGGAGATTTGTTCAAGAATTAAAACTATTAATGATATCAATTGTTCAGAGTATAAGTATTGAACAATGTGCCTCCACTGAAGACAAAAACAGGAAATGCTCTCTTTCTTGGAAATGGTGAACGATTCTAGACACTGAATCTACCAGTAAGCAGAAACAGAAGTCTTATTACTGTCCTGTTGCTTACTACTCGTCATGCTTGTCTCCTGTTGTTCTTGTCTGTCTCAGAGCTGTAGCCGCTGTTGCTCTAAAGATTTAAAGAAAAAGAAAAAACAGATTTCACCCATTGTTTTGGATCATGATTATGTGTTTCATGTTCCCCATTCAGTTTTGCATATCTCATACATTTGTGCTACTCAGCACATGACAGCAGCTTGTAAGTCTGGCTTCTGAACCCTATGATGGATGAAAATGATGAACATGACTGTGTTGGGGTTATTAACTAGAGACCAGATTTGTTGCAGACACCAATACCTGATTTGATTCTGTACATGGACAGGTCAGTAAGCAGACCATCTGATAAAATAAAAAATAGATAAATAATATTGCTATGCTGTAATAACTGAATTAAAAGTATTGGAAGTAAGTGATTGTAATGTTTCTAATATAAAGCTTAGTTAACATGTACATCCAGCATCGTGTTTGTCTCATTCTACACAATCCTACTGTCTAACCAAGGAAAAACAAGCTACAAGTAGGAACACTACTGGTTGCTGCCCTCTGGTGGGGGTATTAATAATTCCCATCACTACAGTGATAATGGGTACAATGATAGATATAATTTGACAGTTTTCTTGTTCCACACTGTGCCACAGCAACACTAAAATAATATAGGTAAGCATGCATGAATAAGAGAGAATTGAAGCAGACATGTAACACAAGAGTTTCTTTCCTCTGTAACTATTACTTTTATATGCAGTAATTGCTAATGTAATTAAATTACGTTTGAGAGGAGCAACTAGTAACTGAAACTAATCAGTAATTGTAACTTGCACAACATTGGTCAAAGGTAATGCAAACCTCAAACAAATGTTAAAACAAGTCCAATTCAGTCCAGTTCAAACCCAAATCCTTTAGGCTAGTTCTTCGAAGTAAATACGAATTTGACGATAATAATGAACCACAAGAATCCTACATCTGCATGAATTCCAGTGTACAAGGGGCCTGCTCCTGGTACACCAGATTCAAGTTGTGGTAGCTGGAAAAGAACGCTGCCATTCCATCCACAAAGTTGGGATGTGGAGGCACAACCACCTGACCCCCGATGCTCATCATCATCAATTGGTTGCTCTTCACCTAAACATAAATAAACATATGTAAATGTGTTTTTCTGTTGCCTTCCACATAAACACATGATGAACTGTTACTAATATATGTCCTTCATATAGCCTCAGTCTGTGCAATGCTTAACAACAGATAAAAAAAACTGTATACACTACCTTAGACAACTAGTCAGGAAGCAGCAATGTTCTTTCGACGTCAGTTGCTGTTGCTAACACCTAAAAGAAAAAATACATTAAAAAATGACATAGTCATTGTCCTCAGCTTAACTGTTGAGGGTAACAAGATAGGACCAATATCACGAAATGGGAGGCAGTAGCTCAGTCCATTGGCTTGGGAACCAAAGGGTGGCCTGTTTCAAGTCCAGCATGGACAGAAGTTGGAGAGGTGCCAATTCACTTCCTGGGCCCTTGAGCAAGGCACCGAACCCCCCAATTGCTCCCCAGGCGCCTTCATAGCTGCCCACCGTGTGTGGTCACTGTGTGGATTTGGCTGTGCCATTAATTGGTGCAACGACCTGAAGACTAGTTTTTCAGTTCCCACACCTCAACTGTTCTGCAGAGTGCAGCCAGGCTAACAAACTTAGCTTACTTGAGCTAACCGAGCTGGAAAATGAGCATAGGCTCAAGCCGAATCCCAAATCTGTTCAATTTTAACATACAACAGAAAATGATGACACAGTCAGATGCAATATCATAAATCACCTGAAAATCATTCTCCAGTGCGTGTTGGTGATCTCCGGGACTTCAATGAGCAGCACTTTGGCGACTGTGGAGGAAAAATTCCCTCATTAACAGAGAGAAACCTCTAGAACCAGACTCAATGTGGGCGGTCATCTGCCTCGACCGGTTGGGGGGAGCAGAGAAAAATGGGGGGGAGAGGAGAGATGGGTGGAAAAGAGGGGAGAGAAGAGAGAGAGATAGTGGGGAGAGGGAGAGAGAGGTGAGAGAGATCTATGATCATGATGGTCAAGTTCTGTAACCTCAAAAATGGTAAGATCACCACAAATGTTAAGAAAAGGGACTTGATTGTAAACACCCCCTGGGAACCTTAGAGCTGGATTAACGATGACAGCGATTTCCAGCTGACTGATAACTCTTGGTACGGATTCCTTTTATGGACCATTCAAGCCAATCTTCCCAGCCAGTGTGTGTAGTTGGGCTTCAGGCATCCTATGCGATTTGTTTCTCTTAGAAGCTACTGAGAATACCTGTTCGTATGAACATGCTGCAGTTCTATTCGCATGCCTTCCCCACACTGCACCTATACACTCACACTTTAGTTGAATACTGTAGCCTCCATGGGGCTTCATGTTCCACCATATCCGCCTTCTTTAATGATAAGCCAGTAAATGTATCCGCAGACCTGATAACACACCACTCTGATCTACTGTCACGACATTAAAAGATGTGCTACTACTAGATTTAAATGTGACATGGCACAGTTTACCACGATAGAGTCATATCATTGGAGAATTTTCCCAGTTTGTGGTGGGTTGGTGAAACGGTGACCAGCGATGATGGTGCATACATACAGCTGTCCCGTGGTAGCCTTGCTAATGAACCCGCAGATTTGTTTCCCCTCCCTGACTGGTTCCCTCCTCGGAACCCTTTTGACAGTGATGATGAATATACTGATGTTGAACTGGCAGCTTAGTTGGCTCTTGTCAGTCCTTATTCCCTTCTATGACAATATACCTGTGTCCACAACAACAGCAGTTTGCTTTACCCTACAGTGTTGGTGATGATACATTTTGTATCCTTGTGAATTGATGTATTTGATGTTTTACTGTACTTGTGCATTCTCTTTTGTTGTCACGAATGACAAAAAGGGGGAAGTGGAGTGGTGATGGGAAACTATTTTGTAGTTGAAAAGTAGTCTGAGACTTTTATGACCTGAACTGTTTGTGACCTACTGTTTATGACCTTGCTAATACCTTTATGACCTTTATGACTGTCCAAGGGATTATGCTCGATCTTTAAGGGACACGTATACAAATAAGTTTCCTGTGACTTAATTCCTGTGTGAAACTGTGCCTACAGAACCAGTCTGACCTGGCTCAGTCAAACAGCCTGAGTTCTCTTATATAAGATGCTTGTATTTGACTGTTCTTCATCAGCACTCTGACATCCCTGTGACTCTCAGTATAGAGGCAAAGTGTCCTGACTCAGTCCATGACTCCCAGATCTTCAGGGAGTCTGCACTATGCCACAGATTGGAACAGGGTGCTGCAAAAAATTGTTTTGGTAAATTATTTAACAGCACTACTGCATTTTGTGATGCTAATCATTGTAACACTGTTTTTTAAATCATTTTCACGGGACGTTGTAAAGCATCCTTTGGTCTATTGAAAGGCACTATATAAACGAAAATGTTATTATTATTATTTAATGATGCCCTATTCTGACCCTGATGCAGGGCCACAATAGGTATTCCAGACCAGGCTTGCAGGATGATTTCTGTGCTGCACAGTGTTAAACAACAGTGCAACTTTAAAGAAGAAGATGGCTCCTCATGTCACCCAACAACCCTCTGATGTGTGGATCCCATGACCCTGGACCTCTAGTTTTCCACTTCCAGCTTCAGTTGTTGCTTTTTAAATTAAATCTCTAGTTTTTTATGTAATGTCTAGTTAATTATATTCTATTTTGAGTTCCACCGTCCTCTTGAAGAGGAACCTCACAT